GCTCCTGCGTCAACGACGCGAGACTGAGGTCGGCCATGGCGGGGGTGTCGGGCAAGCTCAGCGAGAGCCTCAGTCGTGGCCGTGCGTGCTTTCGAGAGAGCACCTCGAACGGCGGTGCCTGAACGCTGAGAGACGTCTACCCCCTCCATAAATTGAGATAGTGGGGAAGCGAAGGTGGGGGTGCGGTCAGAGAAGAGATCGTAGGCTCTGAATACCAAGTGTTACGAGTGCAATTGAGCAAGCGAGCGAGAATTGCACTATCGAAGCAAAACAATACAATGAGCGAAGGCATGAGCGAAGAATATATAGCAAAGCTAGCATGGTAACGGTAACGCGAGAAAATGGGGTGCGCTATGTCAGAATATGGAACGAATGAATGACTGAACTAGAAAGCAGGTGGGTACAAGTAGGAAACCTAAAAGTGTTGTACCCTATAAGAACTACCCCACTACAGCCTAAACAGACTATAGCATATAAGTTTGACACGCTACGGGCCTAACGCTGAGGTTGGGAAATGTCGAGGCGGAGGTCCGGAGCGCGGGTTACCAACCGAACCGTGAGTTTGGGTCGCATCGTGAACAGTGGCGGGAGTCGTAGTCGAGGCGAGTGTCGCGAGCGGGTAACGTTTCACTGTTGGGTGCCGATGGCGGTGTTGGAAACATATAGTTCGCGCTTCTGATGTGTCAAACACTACAACGTATGCGAAGCGAACTACAATGAAGCAACAGCGCGTCAACCAAAGCGGTTGACAAAAAGACAACAGCAAGAGGTTAAGTGAAGGTCAAAGGTCAACGACCTTTGACTCGCCGAAAAGCAACGCGAAAGCAAGGACACATAACTGACTCACTATTGAGCAGTTACCCGAGTCGTCGCTGTATCGAACCGCAACAGCGGTTACAGTTAGTTAAACCTTTCATATTCCTTTGTAATCATATAAAGCTTTGTATCTCTTTGCCATTATCAACTTATCTTGTTCTCACATACCAGTGCAAGGTGGTTCAATTAGTTCACTATTACGCTTCCGCTAATACATCACTACTCTGAGACTTTAGTCTTGAAAACGATCCTAAGGGCTTTTCTCAGCCCAACATGGTATGAGAGCTAGCAAGACAAAACTCAACTCTGTTCAAGCTCCTACAACAACAGAAGGCATGGCTACGCAGAAAGAAAGAAGCTCGTCTACTGGATCTCCCGGCAACACTCCTACTCCACCGCCAGCCTCTGGACTACAGACAGAGAGAGGCACAACCCAAGGACCGGCTGCTGAGTCCACTGAAACTCCTGCTAATCAAGCAACCGGCTTCAACCCAAGCATGATGGAGAAGTTCTTCTCCTTCATGTCGTTCTACGAGCAACATCAACAAGCAGCACCTGCGCAGTCAAACAACAGCGACAACAACAACGGAGTCACTCCCATGAGCCTTGACGATTCACCTTTTGCGCGTGGAAATCAGCAGCCTACCTTCGCACCGTACAAGCCTCAACGCGGCTCCGTCAGCTTCATGCTGAATCGGCTCCCACCTGGACAAGAAAAAAAGACTCTGGACGCACTTCAACTGCAGTCACAGTTTGCACACATCCTTAAACTCCAAACAACAACGCCATTCGACGGCAAGGATTTCTATGCCTGGTCCTTTGAGTTTGAGCTGGTGATGGAAGGCGCTCAAATCCTTGGCTTCTTCGACGGTTCCCTGCCATATCCAACGCACAAGACGCAGTACGACAAACAGCAGTACACGTATCAGTCACTAATGGCGTACAACATACTCTTGCGAAACATAACGCCAAACGAGCAGCAAAACATCCGGTCTTATCGCGGATACGGTAACTCCGCCGAGCTTGCGTACAACCGCCTGAAGAACCTGTATCAAGCAACCGACAGCGTTAATCAAATTCGTCTCATGGCGCAATTAACAACGGTCTAAATGCAACCCGGCGAAAAGGGAATGGCATATCGGTAAATCAGTCGCTGTCGAGGTCTGCGCGATAGACTCCTTCGATGCGGCAGATCAATATCCGAAGAAGCGTTCGTCACTGTCGTTATCATAGGTCTCGGTCCTCAGTGGCGCTCCACTCGAGCCATTCTCCGAGACCACGGAAGAATCTCCGAAGCAAATCGCAGGAGTTGGAGGCACTAGAGCTGGAGGCGCTGGAGCTGGAGGCGCTGGAGCTGGAGACCCTGGAGATGGAGGTGCTGGTGCTGGGGGTGCTGGAGCTGGCGGTACTGGTGCTGGAGGCACCGTGCAGTGGCGACCGTTTTTCGTTCCGCCACAGCCGTCGACTGTGCCGCCACCTGACTCGGTCCTTCGCCAGGTTCTTAGTCTCCCGTCTTCTACTGAGCTTCCTCCTAGCTTACTGAGTCCACCGCCTCACCAGACGCAGCCACACTTACAGCCTGACTCCTCACTGCCTACTTCTTCTCCTTACTCTTAGCAGACAGACACTTTTACAGAGCCTCGTGAGCTTGAGTCTCGTCCTACCTCGCCTGTTTGCGTTGTTCGCACTGGTCGTCGTGTTTCTCGTCCACATCCTCCTCCCGTCCCCAGCACTCACATTATGGCACTTCGTCCTTCCTCTGTTCCATTGCGATTTCCCTTGCCGCCTCCTCCTGCGTCCTCTCTTTTTGCCGTTCCTAACCCTGAGCCTGACTTAGCTCGTGCTGCCAGTCCTACTGTCCCTCGTCTTCTAGCCACTGTTGTCACTGACCCTTCATTTGAGTCCACTGCTGCGTCTGCCCTAATTGCTGAGCTTGTTGACTTTGCTGCCACCTGTCGTCTCGACTACGCAACAAGTCTTATTGCTGAGTCTAAGTCTGACTGTCCTCCGTCCGTTGGAGGTGAGTCTGCTCTTGGCACGAACGTCCTTGAGGACAGGCAGGAGGACTTTGAGTGTCTTGCGGCTGCTTTACCTCATTTCGCATCCATGCTGCTTTGCCCTGAGGGAGACCCAGATGCACTTGACATCCCTACCATGCACTCTTACGCTGAGGCGATCGCGGGTGAGAACTCCTCTCAGTGGCAGACACCCATGGACGCAGAGATGGCTTCCTGGAAGTCCACAGGCACCTACGTCGACGAGGTTCCTCCTCTTGAGGCGAACATAGTCGATGGCATGTGGATTTTCAGGGTGAAGCGGCCGCCGGGTTCTCCGCCTGCCTTCAAGGCGCGTTACGTTGCTCGAGGCTTCAGTCAGCGACAGGGGGTCGACTTCTTCCATACCTTCTCCCCCACCCCGAAGATGACTACTCTTCGGGTGCTGCTGCACGTTGCAGCACAGCGTGACTACGAGCTGCACTCTCTTGACTTCAGCACAACTTTCTTACAGGGTAGCCTGCACGAGGAGATCTGGCTGCGCCGCCCACCTGGCTTCACTGGGTCGTTTCCTGCAGGTACCCAGTGGAGCCTCCGGCGGCCAGTCTACGGTCTCCGCCAGGCTCCTCGTGAGTGGCACGACACACTGAGGACGACGCTTGCGGCTCTTGGGTTTGCTCCTTCGAATGCTGACCCGACGCTGTTTCTACGCACCGACACTTCGCTGCCGCCGCTCTACGTCCTCGTGTACGTCGACGACTTGGTCTTTGCCACTGCTGACACTGAGGCACTGACCCTTGTCAAGTCGGAGCTGCAAAAGAGACACACCTGCACTGACCTGGGTGCGCTGCGCAGCTATCTTGGATTGCAGATCACCCGGGACAGAGCACGGCGCACCATCACCCTGACTCAGTCACACATGGTGCACCAGGTCCTTCAGCGCTTCGGCTTCCGGTACTCCTCGCCACAGTCCACTCCTCTGCCTACCGGTCACTCGCTCTCAGCTCCACCTTCGGACGAGTCCGTAGAGCCGAGTGGCCCGTATCCAAAGCTTGTGGGCTGCCTCATGTACCTGATGACCTGCACTCAACCTGACCTTGCCAACCCTCTTAGCATCCTGGCACGCTACGTTGCGCCCGGGAGACACCGACCATAGCACTGGGAGGTCGCTAAGAGGGTGTTGCGCTACTTGTGCAGTACATCGTTCATGGGTCTCGTGCTTGGAGGACGGGGTCCAGCTGTCCTCACTGGTCACGCAGACGCTTCTTGGGTTGACGACTTGGCTACGCAGCAGTCGTCACAGGGTTACACTTTTAGCCTTGGCTCCGGCTCTGTTTCTTGGCGGTCTACCCGCTCGTCTTCTGTTCTCAGATCCAATTGTGAGGCTGAGATCTACGCAGGGGCCATGGCTGCACAGGAGTTACGCTGGCTCACCTACCTGCTGACCGACCTGGGAGAGCGGCCTCGTTCTTCTCCAGTTCTGTACGTAGACAACAAGGCCATGATTGCCTTGTGTCAGGAGCACAGACTGGAGCACAGAACGAAGCACACCGCTCTGCATTACTTCCTTGCTCGAGAGTTGCAGCAGCGTGGCCAGCTTCGTCTTGCGTACGTGGCCACTAGGGCCAACACTACTGATATATTCACCAAGGCACTTCCGCCTGGTGATCATCAGCGCTTTGCTACTGTGTTAGGCCTTGTGCCTACTTTGCCTCACTTGCTCACTGCGTGACTTTGCTTGTACTGTGATCTATATATATACCTGCATGCTTCCACTTGCTAGGGTATGATCACTGTATTGTTTGTGTTCTTTATATAACTCTGTATGTGAACTGGCCTTGTGGCCCTTTGCTTGTGCTCGGACTGTGTGGTGACTTTGTGATGTTAAATTAGTGTGAGCCATAGCAAGTAGTGTCGAGAGAGTTGAGATAGCAAGGAAGGAATGATGCACTAAGAAAGCAAGGTACAAGATATAGGAGCGAGAGATGGCAAAGGGTGCACCACCTACATGGACTAAAACAGTAACTACACTACAGCTATAACTATATGCAGTTATACAGAAATATATATATAATATATTCTGACACACCCCCCAACTGCATGCAGGAATAGCCATGTGCATAACAACCCCTGAAGGGGTACACCCTGCGCAGCGGAAGAAGGAGAGGGCAAATGAGGAGGAGGCGGCTGATGCTACAGCTGGACTCACAGCACCCCCTCAACCTCCCCCCGCACAGCAGCAGCAGCAGCAGTGAGGAGGGAGAGGAGGAGGCGTGGCGACATTTGCGGCAGTTGTGTTACCCACCACCCACATCCCCTGAGCCTCCCCACCACTTCACACTCCCCCCACAGCAGCAGGTGCGGCTGGGAGAGAGAGGAGGCAGGCTGGCGCTGTAGGTGCAACCTCCCCCTCACACCCTCCCCTCCCCTCCCCTCCCCTCCCCTCCCACCCAAACTGCTGCACGTGCAGCAGGGAGAGGGAGGAGAAGGGGGGGGGGGGGGGGGGGGAGGGGGTAGGGGCTGTGCATGGGGCCGCAGATGCGCGTGCAGAGGGCAGCAGGGCGCATGGGGCGCACAGGGCAGCATGGCGTGCGGGGCGCACAGGGCTGCAGGACAGCAGGGCGCGCGGGGCGCACAGGGCTGCAGGGCGCGCGGGGCGCACAGGGCAGCAGGGCAGCAGGGCACGCGGGGCGCACAGGGCTGCAGGGCAGCAGGGAACGCGGGGCGAACAGGGCTGCAGGGCAGCAGGGCGCGCGGGGCGCACAGGGCTGCAGGGCACGCGGGGCGCGCAGGACAGCAGGGCGCGCGTGGCGCGCAGGGCTGCAGGGCGCGCAAGGCGCGCAGGGCAGCAGGACAGCAGGGCGCGCGGGGCGCGCAGGGCTGCAGGGCGCATGAGGCGCACAGGGCAGCAGAGCAGCAGGGCACGCGGGGCGCACAGGGCTGCAGGGCAGCAGGGCACGCGGGGCGAACAGGGCTGCAGGGCAGCAGGGCGCGCGGGGCGCACAGGGCTGCAGGGCGCGCAGGGCAGCAGGACAGCAGGGCGCACGGGGCGCGCAGGGCTGCAGGGCGCACGGGGCGCACAGGGCAGCAGGGCACGCGGGGCGCACAGGGCTGCAGGGAAGCAGGGCACGCGGGGCGAACAGGGCTGCAGGGCAGCAGGGCGCGCGGGGCCCACAGGGCTGCAGGGCACGCGGGGCGCGCAGGACAGCAGGGCGCGCGTGGCGCGCAGGGCTGCAGGGCGCGCAAGGCGCGCAGGGCAGCAGGACAGCAGGGCGCGCTGCAGGGCGCATGAGGCGCACAGGGCAGCAGGGCAGCAGGGCACGCGGGGCGCACAGGGCTGCAGGGCAGCAGGGCGCACGGGGCGAACAGGGCTGCAGGGCAGCAGGGCGCGCGGGGCGCACAGGGCTGCAGAGCGCACGGGGCGCGCAGGACAGCAGGGCGCGCGTGGCGCGCAGGGCTGCAGGGCGCGCAGGGCAGCAGGACAGCAGGGCGCGCGGGGCGCGCAGGACAGCAGGGCGCGCGGGGCGCGCAGGGCTGCAGGGCGCGCGGGGCGCACAGGGCAGCAGGGCAGCAGGGCGCGCGGGGCGCACAGGGCTGCAGGGCGCGTGGGGCGCACAGGGCAGCAGGGCAGCAGGGCACGCGAGGCGCACAGGGCTCCAGGGCAGCAGGGCACGCGGGGCGAACAGGGCTGCAGGGCAGCAGGGCGCGCGGGGCGCACAGGGCTGCAGGGCGCGCGGGGCGCGCAGGACAGCAGGGTGCGCGTGGCGCGCATGGCTGCAGGGCGCACGGGGCGCACAGGGCAGCAGGGCAGCAGGGCACGCGGGGCGCACAGGGCTGCAGGGCAGCAGGGCAGCAGGGCGCGCGGGGCGCACAGGGCTGCAGATCCCCTCCCCCCACTGCTGCACCCGCAGCAGAGGGACGGAGGAGAAGGGGGGGGGGGAGGGGGCTGGTGCTGCAGATCCCCTCCCTCCCACTGCTGCACCCGCAGCAGGGGGGTGGAGGAGAAGGGGGGGGGGGGGGGGGCGGGGGTGGGCTGGTGCTGCAGATCCCCTCCCCCCCACTGCTGCACCCACAGCAGGGGAATGGAGGAGAAGAGGGGGCGGGGGGGGCTGGTGCTGCAGATCCCCTCCCCCCCACTGCTGCACCCGCAGCAGGGGGATGGAGGAGAAGGGGGGGGGGGGGGTCTGGTACTGCAGATCCCCTCCCCGCCACCCCCTTAACCTCCAAGCTCCTCCCCCCCTCCCAACACAAGGTGCGGCAGGGAGAGAGAGAGGAGGAGGTGGTGGGTGGCTGGTGTTGCAGAAACCCCTCCTGCCACCCCCTAGGTCAGCCACCCCCCGGAACTGCACCCCTCTTGCCACCCCCTCACCCTCCATGATCCGCGCCCCCAACTCCCTTCCGCCCCCCCCCCCCCCCCCCCCCCCCCCTCCTTTTCTGCTGCACGCGCAGCAGGGAGAGGGAGAACGAAGTTGGGGGGGCGGGTCCTCGGGCGACGAGGCAAGGGGCGACGAGGCCGCGGGCGACAGGTCCTCGGGCGACGAGGCCGGGGCGACGGCGAGGAGACAGAGCCGCAGGCGACGGCGCCTTGGGCGACGAGGCCGGGGCCTAGGGGCGACGGTGCCGACGGGCCTAGGGGCGGCGGGCGCAACGGGGCCGACGGGCATAGGGGCGTTGCGCGACGGGCGACGGGCCGGAACCGGGGCCTAGGGGCGTCGGGCGCGAGTGACGGGGCCAAGGGGCCTTGGTCGACGGGGGGCCGCGGGGCGTAGGGCCGTGCCTAGGGGAGCGACGGGCGACGGGGCCGACGGGGCCTAGGGGCGTTGCGCGACGGGCGACGGGCCAGAACCGGGGCCTAGGGACTTTGGGCGCGAGGGACGGGCGACGGGGCCGAGCCTAGGGGAGCGACGGGCGCGAGCGACGGGCCGGGGGGCCGGAGCCTAATGGCGACGGGCCGGGGGGCCGGAGCGTAAGGGCGACGGGCCTAGTGGCTGCGCGCGACGGGCTACGGGCCGGGACTGAGGCCTAGGGGCGACGGGGCCGAGGGGCGACGGGCCTAGGGGCGACGGGGCCGGGGCCTAGGGGCGACGGGCACGAGCGACGGGCCGGGGCCTAATGTCGAGAGAAGGGCCACACGAGGGTGGCGCGTAGTGCAGCAGGTGGTGGGCCCAAAACAGTGAGCGGTCTAGGAAGGGCCTGCTCTTAATACCCTGGTAAAATAGTGTGAGCCATAGCAAGTAGTGTCGAGAGAGTTGAGATAGCAAGGAAGGAATGATGCACTAAGAAAGCAAGGTACAAGATATAGGAGTGAGAGATGGCAAAGGGTGCACCACCTACAAGGACTAAAACAGTAACTACACTACAGCTATGACTATATGCAGTTATACAGAAATATATATATACAATATATTCTGACATGTGATCCACCCTGAGCTTGCTTTGCTTTTCTTGACTGGTCTTGTGACCGCTTGTTCTCCCCCACTTCGCCTATGGGGGTGTGTCAGAATGTTATATTGCTTACATTGTGTACGCTATAGTGGGGTAGCCTACAACGGGTACAACCCAATTATGGTTAGTACTTGTACCCAACTATTTCATAGTTCATCCATTCTCGTTCATTCTTCTGACAACTGCGCCACGTCCGAGATGGCAGCAGATTACTTGACCAAGAAACTCGGAAAGCAGAAGTTCGAGTACTGCATGCTGCTGACTGGACAAGGCCACGTCACCAGCAACGAAGGCGATGACACTCCAGAAGCGAAGGGTGTCAGAGGTCCACTGGTGATCCCCGATTGATCCTAGCGAAGGGTTACAGGCTCGTTGTCCTGGGGGGTTATGGGCGCACTGACCCGCTACTTAAAAAGCCCTTTTATCCCAATTGTCTAGTGGTTGGGATTCTGACATGGTATCAGAGCGAAGGTCTCGGGTTCGAATCCCAGTATGTGCACTTCGGGCATCCTAGTGCGGGGGGGTGTCAGAGGTCCACTGGTGATCCCCGATTGATCCTAGGGAAGGGTTACAGACTCGTTGTCCTTGGGGGTTATGGGCGCACTGACCCGCTACTTAAAATGCCCTTTTATCCAAATGGTCTAGTGGTTGGGATTCTGACAAAGAGGAGTGTTGGAAACATATAGTTAGCGCTTCTGATGTGTCGAACACTACAACGTATACGAAGCAAACTACAACGAAGCAACATCGAGTCAACCAAAGCGGTTGTCAGAAAGACAACAGCAAGAGGTTAAGTGAAGGTCAACGGTCGACGACCTTTGACTCGCCGAAAAGCAGCGCGACAGCAAGGACACATAACTAACTCACTATTGAGCAGTTACCCGAGTCGTCGCTGTATCGAACCGCAACAGCAGTTACAGTTATTTAAACCTTTCATATTCCTTTGTAATCATATAAAGCTTTGTATCTCTTTGCTATTGTCAACTTATCTTGTTCTCACATACTAGTGCAAGGTGGTTCAATTAGTTCACTATTATGCTTCCGCTAATACATCACTACTCTGAGACTTTAGTCTTGAAAACGATCCTAAGGGCTTTTCTCAGCCCAACAGGCAGGAATGGTCTTGTACGCGGTAAGCAGGGGCGCGAAGTAAGGAAAATGAATTTTCCTTACACATGTTCTTTTGATGTGCTCACATGGATTTGTCAAAATATATCATGCGCTCACATAGCGTTCTTTTTATTGGCACTCAATGTTACACGATGTGGTTCAGAATCTTCATTCATTGGCCTACACAAAAAAAACAAACTGTACATCTTTCACTTCACACTGTCTATGTTGTTCGCTGCCTTCTGATGGCTTCCATGTTGACAGTCTTAATACCTTCATCAGTAAAGGAGAACATGAGGGCAGCGCAAAGAGGGCGCAGAGAGGGCGTTGTATGCAGAGGTGCTACACAGGCAAGAACGAACACACTGCACCCAGCTGCCAGAGAATATGTTTACTATAGTTCGGCTTTGCAAGTTATGGTACTAGGATTCAACACAATATATTGATAACAAGCTTTGAAGCGGGATACGTATTAGTAGCCCATCCCGCTTCATCATACAGGCAGTCGCTTACGCATGGCCATGGCTGGTCCTTCTTGTGCTCCTAATTATGGACCCAAATCCACATGGCACATGCTTTATTCAGATGCACTCACAGGGAGGGTGGCACAATGGAATCAAACCCATCTTGCCAGATATGATCCATGGTGCAAGTTTGTGTGCATTCACTGCTTCCCCCATCCACCCGCCCTTAATCCCGCAGTGCTTCATCCAGCACCCACAGCCGCTGCAGCATCATCTCATTCCACACATCGGGCACGCCGGGCAGACAAAAATGTCCGCAGTCCCTCACCCCATTGGGCAGAAGTGCCCATTTTCCCGGATGCCCGTCGCTTCTGAACAGGGTCGGCCGAGCCTGATCCAGCAGCACCACTTTCGCCCCTTGCGTTCTCCCCTCCGCCCTCTCCTTCCCATGCATCCCCGCTACAAGCTTCCTCATCACCCCATTATAAGGCTCCATCGTCATGTAGTTCCTGATAAACCGGTCATTAAGGAACCCCGTGGCGTTCATCGGAGCTGTGTGCGGGCACTCGCTCTTATAGCCCTGGCCCGTGAAATGGGTTGCCGAATTAGTGGAAATAAGGAGCACCTTGCCTCGCATGCGGTCGCTCTTAAAGACCTTCAGTGTCATCTCCCAAGCCTTCTGGAACCCCTCTGCGACCGACAGCTTCTGGTGGGGTGGCGCAAAGCGGAAGCCCGAGCCGTGGATCTTCTGCTCGGTCCACCAGTGACCTGTGGACACGTGGTGGAGATGGGAGACAGGAGGACAAAGTACAGATTAGCAAGGGTCAAATCTCCACACAACATCACACAATGATCAGCAAAAAGCATACAGAAGTGGTTGTATGAGGGATTTTCCAGTAGTATTAGACAATGAACGTGATGAGTATCATATATCATAGACATAAACATATCCTTTTTCCTCACCTGTGTTTATAACGAAGATATCGTGTTGATCCAGTCGCCTCATCCATCGCTCGTCCGGCTTGTTTAAATCCATCACGCCGCCTCCCTTGGGCTTGCTGGGATCGTCCAGGGTCAACTGCACCATGAAATTCGTGCGATAGAACGCGAGGGTGAAGTTACATGACGGCCACACGAACCCGCGTTCCAGCCCGTACGACATGTTGATCCCCGCCAGATCCTCCGGCATCCCGTAGAATCCGTACATGAGACACGCGAGCGACTCGAACGTGTTTCGCGTGACAGAATCGCCTATGAATGCGATGCTCTTTCCCGCGACGAGGCTGCAGAGCGTGCGCTTTCTCAGCGTGGGAAGCGGGCAGCCAGGGGTTGTCCATCGGACGCGCTCGAACACGCGGTCCGGCCGGCCGTTTTTCACGCAGTTTTGATTCGGGTAGATGAAAGGACACGTGGCGTCGTACAGCGGCCACGTGGGATCCACCTGCCACGAGCCGCGTTCCATGGAGCAGCTCGTGCGCTCCTTGGGATTGCCGGTGCTACCACCCGCGCCCCCCTGCGACGACCGCTCCAACACCCGCTTCTTCGCGACGGGCGAAACGTCGGTTACCAGATAGTCGTCCAACGGAAGAAGAGCGGGTCCCGTGGCGCCCTCCGGAGAAGCGCGTGAGAGCATGACGTCGTCGGCGGCATCCGCGCCATCTACGGCCATGCCGTCATCGATGTAAAGCTCGACGCGCCCGACGGCGCTTGGGAGTGGCGGCCGTTGAATCGGCTGCGGCTCGAACACCGCCTGCTCGACCCGCTCGATATTCTTGACCAATCCCGTGATGCCAGCTAGACGCCTCCTCGCGACGTGGTGATGAGAGGAGCCGGAGAGGGTTTCTGTGCGGTCTTGAGAGGATTCGCTGGTGTGCAATGCAGTGAAGGACTCGAGGAAGGAGGTGAGGGAGAAGGGTGTGGATGATGCTTCGGTGAATCTCAAGAGCGAAATGACCAGCGCTAATAGGAGTACTTGTGATGTTAGTACGGCATCGGAACGATGAGAAGCGTGCGCCATTTGTGCGAATTGAAGTAGCTTGTCGTCACGATGGAAACGAAATTAACGCCACTTAGACAAAACTTCTATCCGTGGAAGAGGTATCCTCTCTTCACATTCGGCTACCAGTGAACTAGGGGAACCGACGCGTTTACGCTTATCATAGAATTATGGAACGGCGCGTTAGGAGCCAGACGCACACTAGCGACCTATCAGTGCGCTGCTTGCTGCCAGTTCTGAAAGGACAACCAGCAATCGGTCTGCAGGTTTATTTGAATGAGCAACACACGATAAGTCTTACAATTCAATGGTGGTTTGCTGACTTTTGCTTATCATGGTCAGCGGGTTGGGATGGGTTGGGGTGATTTTCATCCCACACTCACTACTATGGCGTGGTGGTATGGTATGGTATGGTATGGTTGGTGTGGGGCGGGGCCAATTTCCCCCACGCGACAGCTCGATGTGCACATGCGACTCGCAGATTGTGGAACTGGCTGGCTGTGCATGCTTGGGTTGGGACATTGGCCAATGGAAGCGCGTCACGGGATCGACATCGAGGTCGAAATAGCTGCGCTCCGTTTGGTTGCGTGGGCG